CCCTCAGCCCTCCTCCCCTCATCCCTCAGCCCTCCTCCCCCATCCCTCATCCCTCCTCCCCCTCCCCCCTCATCCCTCGTCCCTCAGTCCTCCCCACCCATCCCTCAGCCCTCGTCCATCCTCCCTCCACCACCCTCCGTCTTGTTCCTGGGGAATCCTGTCAGGCTGGGCGGTGGGCCAGGTGGGCACGTTCTAGGGGCCGTGCAGGGGGGCACAGGGGGCTGGGAGAGGTAGACTGGCTGGGAGGGGAGGGGGTGTGACACTCACATCCCCCTGTACCATTGTCTTTTGGCTTATTAACTTTAGCAAGTATGCTTTTTCATGTATTTATGTTCTACATCATGTTCATGTATTTATGAACTAAATTTTACGATTCTTATTATAAAAAAACTCTCAAATGTAAATACAAGGAGAAAGAGAAGTGTGATGAACCATCAGCCACATTGAGCGATCACTGAAATGTCACCGTACTGGTTTCCTCTGTTGTTTTCTTTGCCGAAATATTCTAAAGTCCTTCCCAGATTGCGGCACATTTAAGCCCTAGGTACTTCAGTGTGTAGCTCTAAAAACTAAGGGTGGTTTCTTACCTACATGGAATGCTGTTATCAAAACAATTAGCAATGATCTCCTAATATAATCTAAACCTAGCTCATAGTCCCATTTTTCTGTCTCCAAAATTTCTTTTTTTTTTTTTAAGATTTAATTTATTTATTTGACAGAGAAAGAGAGCATAAGCAGGGAGAGGGGCAGAGAGGCAGAGGGAGAAGCGGATTTCCCGCCGAGCAGGGAGCCCGACAAGGGGCTCGATCCCAGGCCCCTGGGATCATGACCTGAGCTGAAGGCAGACACTTAACCAACTGAGCCACCCAGGCGCTCTGTCTCCAAAATTTCTTAATGCAATTGTTTGTTTGATGTGGGATGCACAAAAGTTTTTTGTTTCCAAAAGGAGAGAGAACAGAAGAAGAAAAAAAAGCTTTTCCTCATCAGCTAGACCTGTAAGTTTTCCTGAAATACAGTTTGTTCAAAAAAGCAAGAAAACAGTGCTTGAATCTTTCCCTTAATTCTCAGCTTTTAGAGTAAGAAGTTGGGCGCCAGCCACTTCTGCTGGTGACGGCTGAGTTGTGTGTGATTTGTGGGAGACGGGGGGACAGAGGAAGCCTCTGTCTTCGTGTGATTGTTTTGCTGGCTGTCCGGTCCGATGCAGACATGATCTGTAAAGGCTCAGAGTGGCCCGTGTGGGGCCTGCCGGATTCACTCTGGGCTGGGTCTGGTGCCTTCTCCCACATGCCGCTGGTCTTGGAGCGCTTCTGCCCAGCCTGCTGACAGCTGCCTTCTCGCTGGAAGTGGCATCTCACCACAGAGCCCCGGGCCTTTGAATGGGCAGCTGGGGACGGGACTCTGGCTCCGGGGGTGTTCACCGTTCCCGGGGCATCATCGTGTGCAAGTTCCTTAGTGTACACTGGTAGGAGATAGCTCGTTTGACATAAAATAAGTCGTGATTTCACCTGCTGTTTCCCCCCCAGAAACGTTACGTATGCAGAATTTACACGCTTTTGAAACATTTTATGCTTGAATTCTCTTGAATTAAAATCTCGATGTCTGGAACATCAACATCATTATTTATTAGTACTTTTCCTAATACATATGTGAAATGTTTTCAAAGTAATAATACCAGTACTTCCACCAGAAATGAAACTACTTTGTGAGCTTTCAGATTTATCTGTGGTTATTTGGCCCTTAGAATATATCCTCACAATACTGCACATTAAAGTAACTTGAAATATATCTCTCTTCCCTATTGCTTCCTTGAAATATGGTTACATTCCTTTGTTTTGGCTCTCAATTATCAGAGAACTTTTTGGTTTCCTTTGGTTTTGTTTTTGCTTTTTGATTTGATTTTTGAATATATACAACATTTATGTGAGTTCATAGTCAAAACCATACAATAAAGTGTCAGTGAAAATTTTGTGATTTGCCCATGTATGTCTTTGCCCATTTTTCCACTGGAGATGTTGAAAATGTCTTAGTGATTTTAAACAGTATTAACTGTCATGTATTTTGCAAATGCCGTTCTTTTTTCTCCGTTGGTTGCTTTTTAAAATGATTTTTTAGCAAGATTTATTTGTTTTAGAAAGAGAGAGGGAAAGAACAAGAGCAGGGGAGGGGCAGAGGGAGAGAGAGAGGAATCCCAAGCAGACACCCCACTGAGTGCAGAGCCTGATGTGGGGCTCGATCTCACAACCCTGAGATCATGACCCAAGCTGAAATCAAGAGTCGTTCACTTAACCCACGGAGCCACCAGATGCTTCTCTGTGGCATTAGGCATAATGGACATTTCGAGACCTCTTTCTCTCTGACCCGCAGGTGTGGAGGTCTCAGCCTGTGACCCTGGGTGTGACATTCGAGTCTGAGATCCTCTGTGACATATCCCGAGGCCTCTCCTACGCCTGGACCTTCTGGAACTCCCAGGGGTGGCCGGTGCCCCTGCCCCCTGCTGTCAGCACCCACAGGCAGACCGTCACTGTCCCCAGCTACTTCCTGGAGCCCGGGAACTATACCGCTCTTGCCAGGGTGAGTGGTTGGCTGACATATGTCCCGCCAGCCTCGGAGCAGGAGCTCAGCCCCTGTCCCTCCAACGTGCTCTATCCAAGAAAACGAGGGTTGTCACAACAAGTGTGGCTGGGCTCTCCAGAAATGGTCTTCCTCGGAGAGAGCAAACTGCGTGTCCAAACGCAGGCAAAGTCATTGTGAAATTCTCCTTATTCTTTTAGCAAAAGCCTCCTGAACATCTGCTTTGACTGTGTCGCTGAGGTAGTCCCTGGATGCCAGGGGAGTATCTGTGTCTGGAAAAATGGTGAAAATATGTCACGGTCCCTTCTAGAAGAGGCAGCTTTATGGAGCAGTCCGTTCGCAGGCAGAGACTGGCCCTGCGTTTTCCTGCTGTCTGAAAGTTCCCCAGGGAGCTTGTCACCTCCTGGGGGAGGGGTGGCTGTGAGCCCGCCTCTGGTCCTGCAGTGTTCCAGGTCAGGAGAGGATTGCAGAATGGCGGAGGCCGTGGACGGTCCCGTGGAAGCACGTGGGGTTTGAGGGGGTGGGCGGTGGGACACGAGGCTGAACACATGAGTGGGAAGTTCTTCTGAAGACCAGGGGAAGGCAGAAATGGAGGGTCGGGCTTCAGTGCCCAGCGGGCCATGTTGGAAATGTTGGAGGGAGGGCAGGTGGATGTGGGGGAGGGGAGGGGATTGTGCTGGGGTCTCTGAGCACAGGACCGGAGCAGTGAGGGAGGAGGGAGGTCAGGTGGAGTGTCCCCGGGAGTCGGGGGGCTTCTGGGATCTCTGAGCACAGGACCGGAGCAGTGAGGGAGGAGGAGGTCAGGTGCAGTGTCCCCGGGAGTCGGGGGGCTTCTGGGGTCTCTGAGCACAGGACCGGAGCAGTGAGGGAGGAGGAGGTCAGGTGGAGTGTCCCCGGGAGTGGGGGGTTGGTGCTGGGGTCTCTGAGCACAGGACCGGAGCAGTGAGGGAGGAGCCCGGGCAGGCAGCCCTTGTGTTTTGGGGATGGGACAGGGGAAGGAGCCAGAAAAGGAGGGAAGGTTTGGTCTGTTCTTATTAAGCACCATAAGGATCTGTGTCACCAGTTTTATTTAAATTTCAAAATAGTGGAAATCTACTTAAATTTTAAAATAGAAATGTTTTGTTAGTTAGAGTCTTTTAAAAAAATCACTTGTTCCTGTAATGGTCTGTATTGTTTTTGGTTGAACACAGCTTAAACTCTTTAATGTCCACTGTCACATCGGCCGGCGCGAGTAGGTATCCCGTTTCTGTGACGGATCGTGGGCTCTCCTTGTCACTGAGGAACACGGGAAGTGACTCCTAGAAGGGTAGATTTCAGCTGGACTGACAGGGCCCAGAGCAGACCCTGTGAGGTCATGGTGTGGACCACGCTACCAGCCTAACTTCCTGGTGTCCCAGCTGGGGCATGAATGGGGTGGTGGAGTGTTTCCGAAGCAGGCCATCTGGCCAGCCTCCCCGAGAGGCCAACTGCCTGTGGTCTGGCCTGAAACTTCGCAGACCACAAATACCGTTGTCAGTTTAGTTAGAAATGGTCATTCTTGCAGGGCCTGGTTCATACTGTGTAAGGTCACAAGTGAGTGCCTCGTGACCTGGCAAAGAGGAAGGGACAGGACACCGTGCCCATGGGAATCCCTACATCCACTGCCTCTGAGCAAGGGCGCGCGGTGGGTAGTGTGCACGAAGATGGGCGTTGACGTGGTCGGTGAGACCACGTGCGGGTAGCCTGTGTGTCCGGTGCTGAGAGTCCCTTTTCCCCAGGCCCTGGACAGTGGGGTCACAGGCACCCTCTCCTGCCCGAGCGGGAAGGGTGAAGGTGAAGGTTGGCTTCATTGCTTGGCACACTTACTCATGAGCACGTCCTTGTCCGCAAGTGGGCTCCAGGCATGTCTTTCTCCAGGTCGTGGGGACCTGACTCGATGAGGTGCTTTTGCTGATGTCTGAGCTTGTCATACGTTGCCTCTAGGGGTCATATCCTCCGATGTCCAGACCTCCCGCTGTCACTGCCCACCCCGATGCTTCCCAGTCTTTGGATGTTCCTGATGGTTCCTCCAGCAGGAGGAGTTGGGCAAGCAGAGATGGGAGGTGTAGGTGGGAGTGTGGAGTGTGATCAGACAGTAGTCGGTAGTTGTCAGGTCCCCACTCGGGAGAGCCACCAGCACGGAACCACGGGTGCCTTTCTGAAGGAGACCACAAAGGACCGGGGCCCAGACCAATGAAAAGAACAAAAAGCTCTGCTTTTTTTTTTTTTTTTAAATTGCATCAAACTTCTCAAAGAGTCCTTTTGAATGGCCTATTGATAAAGTGTTCCAGTATTCCTGAGTTTCAAAATATTTGTTTTAAAGTTCATTTACATTGCTTCAAGACCATTGCATGGGGGCTAGAAATGTAGTTTGTTTGTTTTTTTAAGATTTTACTTATTTATTTGAGAGAGAGAGAGAGCAGGGGGAGGGGCAGAGGGAGCATCTGAAGGAGACTCCCTGCTGAGCGCGGAGCCCCGCGCGGGGCTGATCTCACCACCCTGAGATCACGACCTGAGCCAAAATCAAGAGCTGGACACTCAACGGCCTGAGCCAGCCAGGTGCCCCCAGAAATGTAGTTTATAGAAAGCCAGCTAATGCCATCCAAGACCAAGACCATGGACGAGGTTCCTGTCGGCGGACCGGGGGACCCGTGTCATTGCAGGAGTACCAGCTCTGTGTGCCCCCCAGACGTGAGCACGTGTCTCTGCCCTCCTCCATTGCAGGCACTTTGCTTCCACCGGGCACACGGGAGGCTCTTTCTCTGACACAGGTGACCGGTTGGGGTTCACAATAACAGAGCCCTTGGTACAGCGCTGGGGGCACATTTACACTCATCCTTCCAATGTTATCTTACTTGTTTTTAAAATTTATTTTTTTTTAACTCATCGCTACACCCAAGGTGGGGCTCGAACTCACGACCCTGAGATCAGGAGTCACAGCCTCCACCGACGGGGCCAGCCGGGCGCCCCAGTTTCCTTGCAGTGGTAGAGGGGCGTCTGGCTCCAGCGTGCCTCCTGCCCGGTGCCCTGGGTGACGCCCCCTTGTCGCCGCGGTCCAGGTTCAGGTGGAAGGCAGCATGGTGCACAGCAACTACAGCGTGGCGGTGGAGGTGCGCGCCCAGGCCCCCGTCAGCGTCATCTCCGAGGGCACGCACCTGCTCCTCTCCAGAGCCCCCTCGTTCACCGTCGTACTCACGGGCTCCCAGTCCTACGACCCAGACCGCCCGGGGGCCGCCCTCAGGTGAGCACTGGGCAGCTGAGCTCGTGTCTCACTCGGGGTCCTACCATGAGGGAGTTTGGGGAACGGGTGTCACTCAAACGTGAGTATTCTGAAAAATGAAGTTTAAGTGTTGTCCTGGTCCCGCAGCCTGCGTGGCTTATACACAGTGGTCGTTGCTTTCTGTGGACTCAAGGCTGGAAGGCCAGATCGAGGGGCCGGCCAGTCGGTGTCTGGGGAAGACCTGCTTCCTGGTCCCTAGCTGGTTCTTCTCATGGTGTCCTAGCGGGCGGTAAGGGGGGCTCTTGGGGGCTCCGCTGTAGGAGCCCTACCTGTCCCTTCCCTGAGGTTCCACCCTCGCGACCTAATCCCCTCCCAAGACCCCCGTCTCCAAACCGTCACACCGGGTGTTAGGTTTCCACATTTTAGAGAGACACATTCAGTCCTTGGCAAACATGTTATGCTGTGATTAAAATTCTTGCTTTGGTGTATGGGGGACTTGATCTCCGAGTGTCCCACATCCCTTACTGTTGGAGGTCCCTGGCTCAAGCCTTGGTCCCCTTCACCAGCCACATGCCCTCCCTGGCGGCCTCACCCAGTTTCCTGATGTGGACGTGATCCATGTGATAGTCACCTCGAGCATGGATCCTCCATGGATGCCATCCAGAGCCCAGGGCCTGGGAGCGCACGTTCTCTGTGGACACCGTGCCTGCGCCGTCACCTCGAGGATGCATCCTGCGGCCAGATCATTCTTGGCCTCCAGGCTGGGTGTGCCACCATCTCTGCAGCCTTCCCGTCTCTGCTGACAGAAGGATCCTTCCCATCATTTGGGCCAAAACCTTGAGCAGTCCTCTTTTTCTCTCCCACTTCTCGGCCAGTCTGTTGGGAAAACACATTGGCCCCGTCTGAGCTGAGTGGCATCTTGGGCTTCCTTCCGTAAGGTCTCCTCCCTGGTCCCTGTGGTGCTCCCGGCCGCCATCAGGCCGTTCTTCACAGAGCGGGTGGATGGAGTCTTTTAAAGCCCTTATTGTCACCACCCTGCCTCCTTCCATCTGCGCTCAGACATCACATGCCCAGGGAGGCTTCCGATGACCCCATTGATGGCGATGACAATCCTGTGCTGACCCTGCGGTGTCTTTTCCCGTAGCCCCTTCTCCCTGTGACATCCCATTCTCGCTCATGTACTGTGGTCGCCATCAGTGCTCTGGCCCGGCTAGAATGTTCGCTGAGGATGGCAGGGCCGTGACTTGGCATATCGCTGTGCCTGGCACATAGTGGGTCCTCAAGCAGTATTCTGGAAAAGTTAGAGGAGCTACTTTGTTCTGTTCACCCCATGAGCACGGACATTTGCTGCGTCCCGAGTGCGGGCTTTGGTGGAGGTGAGAGGTGGCCCGTTGGACTCGCTGGTCATACGCATGGTTCTGGACAATGCACATGGCTGACTGTGTACCTCCCGTGCCCCGGCCGCAGGAGACAGAGTGGGGTCTTGTTCACTCTGCACCCTCCCCTGAGAGCCCCGCATGGCACCCACGAGCAAGAGTTCAGTGTGTGTCTGCTGAAACGGGCTGAGTCTGCTCCCTGGGAGTGGGGACTGTTCCCACCCAGCCCTGGAGGAGGGCTGCTCCCCCCACCCCCAAGGGTCTGAACTGGCCTGGTGCCGACCAAGCTCCTACAGGCTCTGGAAACAGGGAGGTTTAGAACCGGCGCCCGAGTTCAGGTTGCTTATAGTCCAAAGAGGGAAATGAACTTGGAGGAAGGAGCAGCAGTGTAGATTTTGGGGGTGCCATGTGGGGTCCCTGCCCCTGCTCAGCCCACACTTCCTTCTTCCTCGCGCCTCCTGGTGGGGCTGCTGGTCTTGGCGTGTCCGCCCAGAGTAGGACCCGCTCCAGGCAGGGACTGGGGCTGGCTTCCTGGCTGTTGAGCGCAGTGGCGACTGTCACAGGGAGGAAGGCTGTGCATGGGGGAGGTGCTGGGCGCCCATCTCCTGGCCGGTCCACCTGCGGCTCCAGGACGGGCAGCTCCCGAGGACTCGGCCTTCCCACAGTCAGAGGCAGCGTGCTCCTTGGGGGCTGCAGAGATGCCAGTGGAGGTGGGAGGTGGCATGCGTGGGGTCGGGAAGATTAAGTGACCAGAGCAGGGCCCCGAGCCAGTGAGCCAGGCGGGGCAGGGCCCGGCCCCTCACGTTGGCAGCCCTGCTCCAGTATTGGAAGCTCCCACCCCACCGCCGTCAGAGAATAAGGGAAACATCGTGTCTCCCGGCCCGCCTGCTCCCCTGGGGCCCCAGGAAAGCCCCGTGAGTGGCCTGGGGGTGGTCACCTGGCTGCCGGAGCAGGTGCATTCAGTCCCGCGGTGGCTTCTTCCACAGTTATCACTGGACATGCACGGCGGCCAGCAGCCCCGGGCACTCGTGCTTTGCTGCCTCCTCCCCACGCAGCCTGGGTGCTGGGGCTCCCTCCCTGGCCTTTCCTGCAGACTCGCTCAGCGACAGCTATGACCAGTTTCTCGTGACGCTGACGGTGTCCAGTGCCGGCCGGAACTCTTCAGCGGCGCAGGTGTTCCTGTCCCCTCGCCCCGACTCGGCTCTCAGGTACCGCCTGCTCCTCGCTTCCTGCAGGCCAGGTCCGAGGGGTGTGCCCTTCTATGTCCTGCCCGGCAGGTGTGGGAGCCACCCGAGGGGCCTGCTGAGGAGAAAGGGGGCTGACCAGCGAGGTGGGGAGACCCCGCTCTCACCTGGCCCCGGGGCAGAGCCCGCCAGGCGAATGCTGACATGTGGGGGCTCCAAGGAGGAGGCGCCCCTCCATCACGGCAGCTGCCCCAGGACAGGGGTCTGCTCTGGGGCTGGGGGCTGGGGCTGGACAGAGGCTAAGGTGTCACGGGGCTGGGCCAGTTGTGATGTGGGGGCAACACCAGCCGCGGGGAGCAGGGACATGCTTCGACCGCAAACCGGACCTGCGACATGGAGGCCGGGCTAGCACCCGAGTGAGGGCCTCGCTGAGCCGCAGACACTGGACGCAGACTGGCGTGTGCCACAGCTGCTCTGTACGCCCCCAGGGGGGCAAGCGGGACACCTGGAAGGACTCGGGTGAGCAGGGCTGCTCCCGTACGTGGACCCTGCAAGGGGTCTGGGCAGTTACCATCGCCTTGTTGTATACAGACAGCTCAGGGTTAAAAGTGGGGAGACCAGGGTGGGTTCTGGAAGGCTGTGCCTGGCCGGGACCAACACAGAGGAGAGGACGTGTGCTGTGACATCGAGGTCAGACAGATGACTCTGGCGGAAACCCCCCCCCGCGGGGTTCAGGTTCAAGCCCATGAAAAATACTTCTCAACACACAGGACTGGGCACCTCTCCAAGGTCCAGACAGACCCAGGCCACCTGCACGTTTTAAGGCTCCTGATGTGTATTAAAAGTGGAGGAATCAAAGTTCCAGCCTGGCTCAGTCGATACAGCACGTGACTCTTGATTTCGGGGTCATGAGGTCAAGCCCCATGTTGGGTGTGGAACCTACTGTAAAAAAAAATTAAAAATAGAAAGTCTGGTGCTCTCCCTAAAATCTCCAACCTGGTTTCACGGTGCAGATTCGTCCATATCTCCTGGGTCAGCTTTAAGGATGTGTTTGTTAACTGGAATGAGGAGCTTTCTTTTCAAGCCAAGTGTGATGAGTGTGGTGAAGGGCTCCATCTGTCTTACTCCTGGGACCTCTTCCTGGTCAACGCGACAGAAAGGACCCGAATGGAAGGTAAGGTTATAGCCGCCTTCATTTTATTAACCCAGGGGAGGACTCGGGTATTCGGAGATTGCTGAAAATGTGCAGACTCTGACTCGTCCGGACCAGTGTCCCTGGTCGTGCCCATCACACCCCCAACACCTCTCCTTTATGCCCACGGGGATGGAGATGCCTGGATGCTGCGGCTCAGCCTCTTGCACACAAACCCGGACCCAGGACTTGCCTCTGTCCCTCGCGGCTCCTGCTGTCCTTGGGGCCACTCCTTGCCCTGGCTCTGCAACCCGAGACTTCAGGCACTTCTCTGAGACGTGGTTTTCTTGGGTGGGTGGGGGTCCCACCCAAGAAAGGCAGGGCAGTGGCCACGTGACATGAGATCACGTGTGAGAACATGCCAGCTCTGGGGTGGGACGTGGCCTGGGTGTGAACCAGGAGGGAAAGGGGTTCTCGTCGGTGGCATCTGTGATAAGAGAGTTGATTGTGAATGGCAGACAGTGGAGCTTTGGTTTCCGAGCTGGGTCCAGCTGGTTCCTGGGACAGAAGCTTGTGCCCAGACCTCAGAGACCCACACTTACTTATTCTGAATCCATTCCACGGGGCTGCACAGAGCTTCCATACACGGGCTCTGAGTGCAGCTGACCTCACAGTGAGGGGGACAGGAACACATGGGGCCATTCTTTTTTGTGCCCTTCTTTGCAGGGGAGCCGTTCCCACATTCTTGATGTAATGGGGTTTTCGAGAAGCAAAGCCGGTGGGGAATGCGTGGGAGGAACTGGCATGAACACCCGTTGGTTAAACTTGCAGCCAAGCCAGTGACTGTCTGAAGACCATGCGTCTCCCTTTAATGTCACAGAATCTGGCTCTGTGACGGCAGTGAGCACAAGCTCACTCTAGCGAGATGTCCTTGTGTTACATCCGTAAAAATTTTCTCTTTGTCGTTCATCCTTTCTCATAAATTATACCAGTGCTCTTTAGAGTTGTTGCACGAGATGCAGACAGGTGAGCGGGGGTTAGGAGCCCCACGTGCCTAGAGTGTGTCTAGAATAGGCGTGAATCACCATGCCAGGTGTGCAGGTGCAGGGGGAGCCCGAGGTGAGCGGATCCCAGGGGAGCTACACCAGCCACCCTCCTGCTTCCGGTGGGGTGGTCCGCCTGCCTCTGGGGGAGAACTGTGCCCAGTTCTCGGACGTGTCCTTCTCAGATGTGGATCACGTTTGTTAAAACGGCATGCTGATGTAATCGTAGACCTTTTTGTTTATTTATTATTATTTTTAAAAAGATTTTATTTATTCAAGAGAGAAACGGAGAGCACAAGCAGGGGGAGCAGCAGAGGGAGAGGGAGAAGCAGGCTGTCTGCTGAGTGTGGAGCCCGATGTGGGCCTCGATCCCAGGACCCTGGGACCATGACCTGAGCTGAAATCAACAATCAGACGCTCAACCAACTGAGCCACCCACGCGCCCCCATAGACCTTTTTAAACCACATAGTTTTTCTGGTCCGAACGTCTCACCCTGTCCTGTGTTTGTTCAAGTTCCCTTTTGTAGAACAGTGGGGCTGCTGGGCGCCGCCGGACTGGGGGCCGTTTCGAAGCTGCCAGAGTCCAGCACACCGTCCACGGAGCCGAGCTGGCTGGAGCCGCATGCAGTGGGCACACCATCTTCACGGGAGCCATCACCACACACCCGGGGCCTGACGGGGAAACCCTCCTCGGGGCCCGCGGTCGGCCGGCACCGGGTCCCTGCTGCGGGTGACCAGGGGTCCCCCGGACCCAGCCCCCCCGGGAGGCCGTCCCCCCAGAGCCCGTGCCCTTCCCCCTCTGGTAAGTGCCGCTGTCCCGTCATGTCCGCCCGGCTTGTGGGATGCTCCTAGGGTCTCAGGGCCTTCCTCCCTAACTGCAAACCCTGTCCAGGCTCTGACAGCCGTCCGTGCACACGACCTCCTTCCCAGCCACCAGTCCCTTCACTCTACCCCTGGTTTTCAGGCTGCCCAGACACTGTTTCTGTGCCTCAGAAGTCGAGGGAGGAGCTCGTTGTCAGGGAGCAAAGTTCTGGCCCAGAATCCGCCCGTCCCTCATTGTCCCTCCCCAGTGACGGCATCGAGACTGTGCTTTCCCTGGGCTGCGGCCTGGCAGATGCCACCCTGCACTGGGGCCCCCGGGGCTCAGGGCAGCCGCCGGACTGGCCGGCTGCGGGGACGGGGCCGGGGCCGTGACGTCTGCAGCAGGACACGCTTGTGTCCACTTCCGTCCTGAGAGGAAGGAGCGCGAGGCTCTCTGAAGGGGCAGTGGGAGCTTGGAGAGCGCGGGGTCCTGGCCTCAGCCCTGCACCCAGCAGCTGGCTTATCCCACGGAAGCCGCACACCCAGACACCGGCCTCCTCCACTGTCGCGGTGACACGGTGACACGCGCAGAGCCAACTGTGCACTCGACACTCAGACCTGGGCAGCCCGTGTGCGCCGTCAGGAGCGTCGTATGGACTTCAGGGGAGTCTATGGCTTTAAATGACATGTCCCGGTTTTCTCCTCCTGTGTAGATTTTGAAGCCTATTACAGTGATATCCAGGAAGCCGTGCCGACCAGAGGGAGACAGCCCGCCGACTGTGAGTCTGTGATTGGGGCTCCCCGCGTCCCCGCGCCAGTCCAATCTCCGAAGCCTCTGAAATCGGGAATTGCCCCTCTGCTCCCCCGCGTCACGAGCTCCCAGAGACGCAGGGCACCGTCTGACCCGCATCTTCTAGCTCACCCACTGCTGCACTCCAGGTCCCCTGTGCTTCAGAACCCCAGGTAGCCCCAGGCCCACAGGCAGGCGCTGCTGGTCCGTGAGTGCGTGATACAGAAAACACCCCCTTAGCGCCCTTTCCGGGATGTCACCGTGGAGCGCTGCCTCCTGTCCGGTCGGCTTCTGTTTCTTCCTCTGTCCCCTTCCTCGGTCTCTGCTCCCTGCCTGCTGCCTACACAGACAGCCCCGGCTGCTTTCAGGGCACTCCCAGACCCCCCTGCCTCCAGGCCAGTCCTGGGCGGATTTTTGGTACTTTCTCCCATCTGGTTTCCTTCTTTCCCACCTCCTCCAGCCACATCTCCAACTGCTTTCCAGTGTTCACTCCAGAGCCTCTGTCTGCACCTCACCCCCCAGGGGGTCCCCCCGCCCATGGCCCATAGCCCACCAGCTCTAAGCCAGCCCCTTCCCCTGCCCCCCACCCCTCCTCACGCCCTGCCGTGACTGTCTTCACTCACGGTCACCTGGCTCCCTAGTCTGGAGGCAGCCAGTGTCGTCTGGTTTGCTGGGCTGACTTGCTCTGCTGGGCCCTGGCAGCCGGGCCCCTGTCACTCTGCTGAGCGGATCTGCCCTGGACCAGCTCCCGGGCTCAGCGAGCAGGGTATTTGCTGAGCAATTGAGGGTGGGCAGGAGGGGATAGGCCATCACACCACCCACCGCGCGGTGACAAAGGACAGCTCTGGAGCGTGGGGGGTTGCTGAAGACATTATTTCGATATGACGCATCCAGCAACACTGGTGCAGTTATGAATTAATATTTCAGAAGATCATTGGCACTTACTCCCTGACCACGTGTTGGCTTGCCTTGTCTTCCTAGGGGCCGATGCCAGCCTCGCAGGAGCAGGCCCGAGTTCAAGTGCTGACGGGGGCCGCGGGGACGGGGACAACCTGCTGGGCCCCTCGGCCCCCCTGGCCGCTGCCAGGCCCACCCTCACGGTGGACTGGCCCAAGTCCCCGGTCGGCCGCGCTCATTTCCACGGCTACACCTCCTCTGGTAGGAGCCCTCTCTTCAGATCTGGGGTGTGCAGCCGGTTCACAAGGGTTTGGGGACCAGCCCCTCTGTTTCTTCTGCAACATTTCCTTCAGTAGAGAAGTCCTCAGGGTCATTGTGCCTTTTCTACTTGCGTGTGTCCCTCCGTGGACGCAGGCTCTTTATCAAAGGCCGAATGTGCCTCTGGAGACCTCCAGGAGCCACATCTGCAGACACGCCCCGGTGGAGGCTCTGGGCCTCCCCTGTCGTCAGAAGGCTGCCTCCTCCCCCTTCCCCGCCCGCCCCTATTTTGGGAAATGACGGTTTCCCCTTGAGACCACCAGCCTGCGTTTCGGGGTCAGCCTCTGCCCGCTAAGGAGGGGACCCGGTCACCAGTGGGCAACAGTCACACCCAGATTTAAGAAATGGTTCACAGTCTTCAAGACGAAAAACTCACTTTGAAATGCCTTAATCATGCCTCGTGGACAAAGTCAGTGTGTCAGGGAGCCAGGTTGGATGTGGAAGCCACCACAAAGTGTACGGCGTGAGCTCCCACCAGCATTCTCTTGTTGTTGGGAGCCAAGCATGACCCAGGAACCCCCCCACCCAGGCCCCAGTTCAGGGTCGCTGCCCTCAGACAGGGGAGGCCAGAGGGGAGCCTCCAGCTCTGTATAGAGGGTGGGTGGCAAACATCTGGGGGCATTTGCAGGTAGGAACAAGCCTGCTCCACGGGAGTAGGGGGGAAGCCAGCACAGAAGGGGTCTATCTGCCCCCTGCCCTGCAGAGCCCGCTGATGGCCCTCTCCCTGTGGCCCCTTCTCCTCAGGTATCACGGGGCACACGGTGACGATAAAGCCATTCTCACTGAGCCCTGGGGACACATACGTCCTGCAAGCCTCTGTGGGTATGTTACACGCTCAGGGGGACCTGGGGCTTGGGAGGATGAGAGTTTTCATTATATTCAGATTTTTTCTGCAAATTGCAGCCACTTCTGACCTCCCGGGCTCTTTTCCCAGAGCGTCCTGACCCTCCCTCTGTCCCCCGTCCCGCACTGCTCATTCTTACCTCCTCCTGTGTTTCTGATCCTTATGGGATCAGGTGGGTGTTCAGGTCACGGTAAAGGTCGAGATGTTGGCCTTTAAAAAAACCCGGAACGGGGTGCGTGTTTATTTGATTTCTCCAAGACAGCTGTGTATGTTGATTCTTTCCCTGAATTGGTTGATAATCCCGACACATATATGAAACGCAGGGAGGTGGAGGTGTTTGTGGGGTCCGTGTATGCCAGCCGCACAGTGACCCGGCGACCTGCTCTGCCCCGCTTCCGGCCTTTCCATGACTCAATCACACCTTCCTTTTGGGGCAGTTTTGGACCTTCTGCCCCATTTCTAGCGGTTTTTAGTTCCATATGACAAGCGCAGACGATCCGACAGTTCATAAGCACAGAGGGGTTGGGGTCAGAGTCCTCATGTTTGGGCTACTGGAAACCCCTGGTGCATTTCTGGGCTTGTCTCCCATGTCACCTTCCTCCCACGAGAAGCATGAGGCCGATGTCGGTGGGAAGCCCCTCGGTAGGGCCCCTGGGGCCCCGAGCTTTGTTCTCTTGTTCTTTCCCGTCTCTGCTGACAGCTCTGCAAACGTCCGTCTGCCCGTCCCGCGGTGCATTCGGAAACGGACCCCCGGGCCCCTGTGTTTGGCACGAGAGAGACAACACTGCTTTTGCTTTTTCATAAACACGGCAAAGCAGACCTTTGCCTGCCGTTTGCTGCTATTTATCCAAGTGACGAGACTGGGGGCCGTTTTCTTCGGCAGGTCACACTCCTTCCAGGTGGGGGACTTGGCCTCTGCGTGGGAGGCCCGGGGTGTCCCCACTCATCTCCCCGTGCCCCCTGCCCCCAGCAGCAGCACTCACCCCCTGGGCTCCTGCACACACCGGGCCAGGCCATGAAGCAGCCACTCCCTTCTCTTTGACTTGACCTTGTGATGGGCTCCTCGGCCGCGTCCCCACGTCCTGCGCCCTCCAGAATCCTGCGGAGGGCGAGTCGCATGGATGACCAGCTCCACACCCTGGCAACCGCCCGGGGTGTGCTGTGAAGACATAATCTTGCTGCTGTCTTTCTCCAGCGTGGGTTTTAATCCCCGCCCTCCTGTCTGTAGCTTCCCCGCACCACTTACTGGGGAGAGCTCAGCGGTACGTGACGCTCCATCCGGCTCCACGGGACGTGGCCTGCCAGGTGCAGCCACATCGCGGCCTCGAGGCTCATACCGTCTTCAGCGTCTTCTGCATGTCGGGGAGACCGGTACGCTTGGCCACCCCGAGTCTGGCCCAGAGGCTGGGGTCAGAGGCCGTCCTCAAGGGGTGGCCAGCAGTCTGGGGAGATGCCGTGGGACGCGAAGCTTCATCCCGGGGTCTGGCGGCAGGAGTGCCGTGACACTGCTCCCCACCCTTCCAGGGACACACCGCCCCATTCCTGTCCTGATCCTGCTCCGTCTCTCCGAAACCCACCACCTGCATCCCTGGAGGGTCTGGTCCTGGCCTCCCTCAGGCCCCAGATGCCCTGCTTTTTTTTATTATTACATTTTATTTATTTTTTAAGGTTTTATTTATTCATTTGAGAGAGAGAGCACAAGCAGGGAGGAGAGGCAGAAGCAGACTCCCCGCTGAGCACCGCCCCCCCCACCCCCGACGCGGGGCTCCATCCCTGGACCCCGGGATCATGACCTGAGCTGAAGGCAGACGCTTCACCGACTGAGCCACCCAGGCGCCCCTGTTATTAAGTTTTAATTTTAATTACAGTGTAGTTCACAGACAGTGCAGTATTAGTCTCAGGTGCACAATACAGAGAGTCCGCACTTCCCTACATCACCCGGTGCTCATCACGACAGGTGCCCTCCATCCCCATCACCTGTTTCCCCATCCGCCACCCACCTCCCCTCTGTGACCCTCACTGTGTTCCTTGTAGTGAAGAATCTGTTTTTTGTTTCTCTCTCTTCCAATGCCCTATTCTGACACCAAGAGTGATTCACATGAGCGCCTCCTCCCCAAGCCCCAGTCTGTATCCTCTTCACCCCAAGGAGGCCCAGAGATCTGTGTCTCTGTGGCTAGGAGAGCACACAACCCCGACTGACAGATGCAGCCACCGTGTGGGGTACTCGTGGCTCTAGGAGAGGGGCTCTGGAGGGGAGAGGTCACGCCACATGCATGTGCATTCGGGGACAGGATGTCAGTACCTGCCCCTGCCTGTCTGTATACGACACTCTCGGTTGGAGTGAAGGATGCAGGGGTGTGTATTTATTGGGGATGTAATTCACAGTTTATTCATCTATACACTGTTTTTTCCTCTGCATGGAACGGATCCTAGGACTTCCGTTATGAATTTAGTTATCAGATAGGAAATGCCTCCAAACGCACTCTGTACCACGGGAGAGACAGCCAGTATTATTCCATGCTGCCAGCTGGCGAGCCCTTGGATGATTATAAAGGTAAGTCAAGCCATGACTTTTTTGGGTGGCTGGCTGTCCTCACCTACGGTCCTAAACCTTTCCCCCTGGCTCCCCAAAACAAGAAAATGTTAAAACTGTGTATCTAGAAAATAAAATACTTACCTATTTGTCTTAAAAAGTCTCTCATGCTTTTTAGAGTAGGTGGATTACCTACTTTTTAAAAAAATTTTAAGAAAGATTTATTTTTATTTGAGAGAGAGAGCACATGAGCAGGGGGTAGGGGTAGAGGGAGAAGGAGAAACAGGCGTCCTGCTGAGCAGGGAGCCCAATGTGGGGCTCGATCCCAGGAGCTGAGATCCCAGGACCTGAGCTGAAGGCAGATGCTTAACTGACTGAGATCTTAAATTACAACTGAAACATAATGTAAATGCCAAAATGCCAAAGCACATCCTGTATTTATGAATTAAATGTTTGAGACCAACCTGTCCCTTATTCACTAATGAAGTTTGTGGTATCTGGCGAATCCTGCACTGGTTGTCAACAGCACCAAATCAAGGGGCTCCCACCACGAAGAAAAGGCCAGGGTAAAGGGATGCAGGGTTAGTATGTGTTGTTCTCAGAACAAAATCAGTTCTGCTGTGCTGACAACTTCCCGGACCCCGGGAGCCTACCTGCCCTGAGCCCGTTAGAGACACAGCCGTTTAGGAAAGTGGGCCCATCTGTGGAACCCACTCCCATTGAATAAAGCTCAGCGGCCGGATGGTTCCGAGGGACAGGCAACTTGGAGTTGCTGATCTAGAACTTTCTTTGAGCTGGCCAGGTGAGATTATTTCTGCCTGAGGTCTGAATTCGCTCATCCACTCGGTTTCCTTAAACCTCTCCTCTCCTTGAAGCCCAGCAAGAAAGGTTCCTTTTTCATGAAACCTTGCCTGACCCCCAGTTAGACACATGTGCACCTGCTCCTGGGTGCAGGTCAGAGACAAGGAGCAAAGGCGTCCCGAGCTGCACTCTGTGATCGGTGAGGATGGGCACGTCCTCTGTGCGTCCCAGTGAGCACAGTGCGCGTTGGTTGGATGGACAGACGGAGGTGGTTTTCATGGGCCTGCATCATAAATTCCTCCACAGCGAAACTGCACATGCCCTCTGTCTCCTGGAAATTTTCCTCCAAATGGATGCTCGCCCCACCCCGCCAAGCCCTCCACTTGCTGGTGTTGGGTATGAAGCCCTGCGCTTGGTTCAGACCCGGCAGGTCCCCTCCCGGGATGCCTGCCTGCAGGGCCGTGTGGAACCCCGTCTGCAGGGGCCTGCAGACCACAGGGCTGGCCAGATGCCCACGTAGGATGTTGGGGGCAGGGCCTCAGCTCCGTGTTGGATGAAAGGGTCCCTTAACATGAACTGTAGACCCAAATTTCAGGCCACAGTCACCGAGCGGTGTCAGTGTGAGTGATGTCACTCAGGCCATTCCCAAAGTGTGCATGAGGCGTTACAATGGTGAATGCCAGGATGATCGATGCCTACGAGTATCCGACTTCCAGAGTCATACGAGGGTGAACACGAGCAGAATAAATACATTGCGGTAGATACTAGATCCTGTCCTGTCCCGTCTCTTGCGAGACGGTTTCCCACGGACTCAGTGTCAGGTTGGAGTCTGGCCTGAACTCTGCTGGCGCTCTTGTACACTGCGTCCAGCCGGAGGACCCGTGTTATCCGTGGTGGAATCCCCGCCGTACTTGCTAAACTGTAGCTGCCTCACAGCTGGAATAGGGGCCCACCCTCACCTACTGGCTCAGAATCCTGGGAGGAGAGGGTGGAGCCCAGCATTTGTTTGTAGTGCTGATTGGGTGGCCCGGTGTCCAGGGGCCACATTGGGAGAAGCACCAACCTTCAAAATTAAGTCCCAAATCCTTGGCTCTGTGTTTCGGGTTGAGAATGCTTTCACGCCTCTGGCACACTTCGGGTCTGCCTTCTGCGTGGTTCCTGCGGCTGGCCCTGCGGCCTCCCCGGGGAACAGCATCTGCACGTCTCTGCCCCACAAATCCCGGGCCTGCATCCCGAGGCCCCAACAAAGCCGTTTCCTGCCACGCTCCTGGGACCACACGCAGACTTTGCTTCTCCGCCTTTCTCTGCACCTGCCCTGTTTCTGGACATCACTGAGGAGCTGCTTAAAATGTTACTCCAACCCTTGAGCCTCCGTTGCTGAGCGTGGGTTTCATTCTCGGGGTTTCCCACTGCCCCGGTTTCCCGTTCACTGGTGGGGTCCTGACGCCCCTGGCACACAGGGCCTGCAGGTGGGATGAGCGAGCAAGTGAGTGGAGCACTTCCTGGCTCCCGTGGCCTGTGGCGGCCACTTCTCCTCCGTCCTTGTGACTGCTCCTGTGTCCCTGGCTCTCCGGCGCTCAGTGCTCAGCACTGCCGTGTGGCACTTGATGTTGGAACGCTGGCCTTGCCACTAGGATGGGGCAGCCTTGTGCTCAGAGCTCGTGCCTGGCTGTGTTGGGACGTCACCACCGCGGCACACAGGTCCACCCCACAGAGATTCTGGTTCCTGAGGGCTTGATCCACTGTGACCCTCCTCTGCCATGTTCCCTTTCAGTCACGGTGTCCACTGAGATCACAGACGGGGCGGGCTCCCGGGTGCCGCCGTGCGCCGTGACGGTGATCGTGCAGCCTCGTTTCCACGGGAATCTCTGCCTGGACGAGGACATGTGAGTAAGCCACACGGAGACACCCTCACGCATGCATGCCTGCATCTCCCCAGGAACGGGGTCTCCCCCAGGTCAGCCACAGGTGGGGGGGACCCATCTTCTCGGGGCGAGCAAAAGAAACAGCTAGGGTTCCGCAGTCCTGACTCTGATCGGCGCGGAGCGCACGCAGGTGCGTCGGAGCCGGCAAAGCCCAGGTCGAGCTGGGCTGCCATCTGTGTGCCATTGGGGTCCCTTGGCTTCAGGGTGCTTACAGACCCGCATCCTGAGCCCTAGTGTTTGAGCATCTCCATTGTCCCCCTAAACCCGTGGGCTCATTAGCGGTCACTTTCCTTCCCCCACAGCCCCAGACGGCCGCTAGCCTACCTCCCGTCCACAGATTGGCCGGTGCTGGACATGTATGCGAACAGGGTCACAGCCTGCGTGCTCCTTTGTGCTGGCCCCTTTCACTAGCTGGGGGCGTCTTTGAGGTCCATCCATGCCGTGGCGCCATCACAACCCTGTTCCCTCCTGTGATGTTTTGTGGATCCGCTACGAGCTGTCTGTCCCGTCCTCAGTTGGCGGACGGGTGGTGTTTCCACTTTGGACTATTAGGAATAATGCTGTTAGAACAGAGGTGTGGACATGTGTTTTCGTTGTTCTTGGGTAGATACCTAAAGGTGCTGCTGGCTCATAGGGTCACCCCGTGTGTATCACGTGGGGGAAGCAGCCAGCCTGTTTCCCAGAGTGGCTGCACCATTCCCATGAGGCTCCGTCTACACCACACTGCTAGTATCTCTCTTTTCCATTCTAGCCATCCCCGTGCCGCTGAAATGGTGTGTGCTCTGTGCCTCTGACGTGTATTTCCCTCATGACTAACGGTGGAGAGCATCTTTTCATGGGCTTGCACATCTCGCTTGGAGAAATGTCTATTCACGTAGTTCGTTTAAAAATTGGGTTGTCTTTTTCTGATTAAGTTGTAGGAGCTCTTCACATATTCTGGAAGCACGTCCCTTGTCAGAAACACGATTTGCAAATATTTCTCCCCAGTCTGTGGTTTGTATTTTCTCTTCCACGTGGTGTCCTTTGAAGCACAGAAGTGTGTAATTTTGATGAAGTCCCACATACTGATTTTCTCCTTTATTGCTTGGTATATCCATATGATTTATTGCTGTGTTTTCTTCTAGGAGAGTTGTAGTTTTTGCTCTCCCACTGAGCTCTGTGATCCGCTTTGGGCTAATGTGTGTGTGTGTGTGTGTGTGTGTGTGTGTGTGTGTGGTGTGAGGTAAGGCTCCAAGGTCAGTTTTCCATAGGGAGCTGTCCAGTTCTTCCAGCACTGTGTGTTATAAAGGTCAGTCTTTCCCCATTAAATTATCTTAGTCCCTTTGTCAAAAGTCAATTGGCCATAAATGCTGTGGAGTCTCAATTCTACCCCCTTCTTCTGTGTGTGACTTCCTGTCAGTACCACACTGTCTTAATTACTGTAGCTTTGTAGTAAAATTTGAAATTGGGAACCATGAACGCACTAACTTTGTTCTTTTTTTTTTTTCAAGATTATTTAGGTTATTCTGGATCTCCTGGTTATTATTTTGTCAATTTCAGCAAAAAGCCCCCTGGGATTGTCATAGGGATTGCATTGAGTCTGTCGATCACTCTGAGAATATCGTCATCTTGAGAATATAAAGTCTACCGATCTATGAACAAAGTTTTCCCTTTATTTAGATTTTAATTTCTTTCAGCAGTGTTTTCTAGTTTCCAGGGTACAGGTATTGAATTCTTCAGTTAAGTCTAACTATAAGCATTTTATTCTTCTTAATGCTATTGTAAATTGAGTTGTTTGCTTAAATTCTGTTTATGGATTCTTATTGCTAGTGTGTACATATACAATTGATGTTTATATGACTGATCTTGTGTCCTGCAGCCTTGCTAACCTCATTTATTTGTTCTATTAGCTTCTTAGTGCATTCTGTGGGGTTTTTCAATGTGGAAGAGCATGCCATCTACAGAAGAGCTTTACTCCTTCCTTTCCAATCTGGATAACTTTTTTTTTTCTGGCTTAATTGCCCTGGTGAGACTCTTCCAGTTCATTGGTGAATAGAGGCGGCAAGTGTGCATATCCTGGTTTTGCTTCCAATCTAGGCCAGGAAGCATTCTGTCTTTCACCACTGAGGGTAATGTTAGCTGTAGGTTCTCCGTAGATGTATTTTCTGAGTTTGAAGAGGTTCCCTTGTATTCCTAGATTTGGGGTATTTCTATCATGAAAGGGTATTGGATTTTGTCAGTGCTTTGCTGGATCTATTGAGATGATTATGTGGGTTTTGTCCATTACTGTGGTAATTACCTTGACTGATTTTCATACTGGAGTTCCTCTTGCATTCCCGGCACAAACCCCACTTGGCCATGGTGCGTGGTCCGTGATCATGACATAGTGTCCGAGTACAGTCTGAGTGTGCCCCGTGCTGAGTTCGGGTCCTTGCGACCCTCCGGCCTGCTGTGGCCACAGTGGTGTCTTTGTCTAGATCAGCCCTGTCCTCCCTTCCTTGCCACAAAGTGTCTCTGTCATTCTGCTTGGCGGCTCTGCCCCTCTCAGTTCTGATCAAGGGTTTTATGGAATTCTGATGTTCTGCTTCACTGTGTCTTTTCTGAGTTTCTCTTGCACAGACCGTCTGTCCTCTGAGCCATCCCCTGTCTGTTCCGACCCACCCATGGAGCGCTCCCTAGCAAGTACCCCTCCTCTGCTGGTAGGCAGGCTGGAAAGTTGCGCCGTGGGTGGGAGCAATCCTGATGACTCTTCGATTTCCTTCAGCTATAACTCCAGCCTGAAGCACCTCTCCACCCTTCAGCTGATGGGCAGTTACACAGAGGTCAGGAACTACATCACCATGATGACCAGGGTCCTGACTCGTTGGGCTGCGGAGGACAGAAGTCCCTTGTGTGGCCAATGGTCACGAATACAGGATGCGCTGATTTCTTCTGTGTGCAGACTGCCTTTCACAGATCAGGTGCGGGCTAGGGAGGGCTCGGTGCCTGTAGGTCGGCATCTGCGTGGATGGCTGGCTCGCTTTCCTTATGATACACAGTCAAGAAATGGGATTTGGAGGGCCAGCCGGAGAGGCCTCTCCCGTCGGCTCATACTTGCGCAAACAAATGCTTTTGGTTCATAAAACAGACCCTGTGCACAGCAATAGCATGCAGATCGTTCTGCTCATGTTTCTCTAAGTAAAGTGATGTGAATCCCATCTGACTTTACCTCGCCAACAGTGAGATGACGGAGTTAAATGTATGATGACGTGCGGCTTCTAAGGAAATGAGCATGTGGCATTCAAATGCCACGGACCTGGGTCACTGGCATCTGCACCTCCTGCCCCCCATCGCCACTAGAGGGCGCTCGCATCTCAGCGCAGGCCTCCTGTCTCTGTGACCTTGACACTCAACCCATTCTGTTTCTCCCTCCAGGACACCTCTCACCCTTTTCCAAAATTTCCCTGAGCTCTGACCTCCTCCTCCCTCCCCTCGGGTCACACTCCTGCTGGGCTAGAGGAGGCTAGTGTCCAACGGACACCCAGAGGACACGGGGCCCTAGAAGGCAACGCAGGTCAAGGGGCTGGTCCCTCCCCTGTCTCTGAGCTCAGGAACCCGGGACTGCTCTGTCTGCAGCAGCTTTGAGCTCAGTAACGAACTTGTCCGTCCTGTGTGTTTGCTTGTTTCTCCCGGTCAGGAAGAGATGAGCGCTTCTGTTCTCATGTTAAGGGACCTCCTACGCTTCCCTCACAAGGTGAGTGCTGTTTCTTTCCAAGTCCATTTTCCTGACCATTTTTTTGGGAGGGGGGACCTAATCGGGAGGACTCGATCAGTTCTCAAAGAACCTACAGGGCAGGGTTACGTTTTGACACTTAAATTAGAACCGGGACTTGCCCTGAGAATTCACGTGAATAGCATCTCCCGTCCCAAGTCACGGGGGAGGAACTTCTTCCCTAATACAGAAGTTAGAAACCCCAACGTAGAAATGGATCCTGACAGTACCATCCGTGCTATAGATACTTCTGGTAAGGGGACCACTCTCTGTTCTTAATCGAGGTACTGGGTTTTCCAGCTCCCCGCTTCTTTGTTTTCAAGTTTTTATTTGAATTCCAGTCAGTTAACATGCAGTGTAATCTTAGTCTCAGGTGTACAATATTGTGACTCAACACATCCCTACATCACCCGGTGCTCATCACGACAGGTGCGCTCCTTCATCCCCATCACCTGTTTCCCCATCCCCCACCACCTCCCCTCTGGTGACCAGCAGTGTGTTCTCTAGAGTCAAGAGTCTGTTTCTTCATTTCTCTCTCTCTCTCTCTTTCTCTCTCTCTCTTTTTTCCCCTTTGCTTGCTTGTTTTGTTTCTTAAATTCCACATGTGAGTGAAATCATATGATAATTGTCTTTGACTGACTCATTTCGCTTAGCATAATACTCTCTACTACCATCCACATCGTTGCAAATGGCAAGATTTCATTCTTTTTCAATGATGGAGTAATACTCCATTGTATATATATATATATATAGAGAGAGAGAGAGAGAGAGAGCACATATTTGTTATCCATTCTTCAGTCAGTGGACACTGGGCTGTTTCCATAGTTTGGCTATTGTTGATAATGTTATAAACATTGGGGTGCACGTACCCCTTCGAATCTGTATGTTTGTGTCCTTTGGGTAAATACCCAGTAGTAGAATTACTAGATCATATTGTAGCTCTATTTGTAACTTTTTGAGGACCCTCCATACTGTTGTCCACAGTGGCTGCACCAGTTTGCACTCCTACCATCAGGGCACAAGGGATCCCCTTTCTCTGCATCCTCGCCAACACCTGTTGTTTCTTGTGTTGTTGATTTTAGCCATTCTGACAAATGTGATATCTCATTGTAGTTTTGATTTGCATTTCCCTGATGATGAGTGATGTGGAGCATCTTTTCATGTGTCTGTTAGCCATCTGGATGTCTTCTTTGGAGAAATGTCTGTTCATGTCTTCTATCTGTTTTTTGTTTTTGTTGTTGTTGTTTTGAGAGAGGGAGAGCAAGAGTGAGGATGGGGGAGGGGCAGAGGGAGAAAATCTCAAGCAGACTCCTCACTGAATGTGGAGCCCGACATGGGGCTCAATCTCATGACCCTGAGATCACGACCTGAGCCAAAACCAAGAGTCCTAGCTTAACTGGCTGAGCCACCCAGGCACCCCCAACCCTTCTTTCTTGTCAGATCCCCGGCTCCTGGTCTTGAGCTCTTTGCTGCTTTTTCCATGTCTCCTTTGCTGCAGGACAGTCCCCAGCTTGGTCAGAATGTCACTTATTTACGATCCCTCTGGATGCCACCCCATTTCTGTGCCCCTCCGCAGGGCAGAACCTGCAGAAAGCGGGCTCTTCGCCTGCTGTGGCACACGCATGGTTAAGCTGTCAGGATCTGACTGCCGCCCCCACCTCCAGACGGAGCCTGCAAACTCCCCTGCTGCCCAGTCTGCCCTATCAGGACCACCCCCTGCTCCCTGGGGACAGCCTCTTTGCCTGTGACCACTGTGGGCTCCTCCCTTCCCCTTTGGTTGGTGGGTGCCCGAGGGCTGTGTCCCTGGCGCTACACTCTCTCTGCACTTTCTCCCTGGGAGGGGGTCTCCCAGCCTTTTCCATTAAATCCAAGTGACGGTGACGCTGCAGTGTGGTCTCTACCTCGACCCTGTACCCGGAGTTGCAGACTCGTCAGTACAACCGCCCAGGGGTCCCGCATGGTGGTGTCTGGTGTCTGTGCTCCCCCATCTTCCTCCCCCTCCCCCCATCCCCTGCTTTCCCTGCTCAGGGGCACGGCACCTCCCACTCCCCAAGTCAGCCAAGCCCAGGGGCCACCAAAGAAGCCCTCTCTTCCTCATCTGTCCCTGTGAGTAAAGTCTGGTCAGTTCTTCTTCAGAAACATACCTGGAAGCTTCCTACCTCTGTCCTCCTGCGGCTGTTCTCCCCAATCCACGCAGATGGTCCTTCTCATTCCAGACCATCTGGCTGTGTCCAACTGTGCTCCCTGCCTCTCTGTGCTCCCTGCCCCCGACTGTGCTCCCTACCTCTCCGACCGTGCTCCCTGCCCCCGACTGTGCTCCCTGCCTCTCTGACTGTGCTCCCTGCCCCCGACTGTGCTCCCTGCCTCCCCGACTGTGCTCCCTGCCTCCCCGACTGTGCTCCCTGCCTCTCTGACTATGCTCCCTGCCCCCTGACTGTGCTCCCTGCCTCTTTGTGCTCCCTGCCCCCCGACTGTGCTCCCTGCCCCCCGACTGTGCTCTCTCCCTCCCGACTGTGCTCCCTGCCTCTCTGACTATGCTTCCTGCCCCCCGACTGTGCTCCCTGCCCCTCCAACTGTCACAAGCGGCACAAAGGCATCTTCTCGGCCTGAATCCATGAACACCACCCCGCGGCTCTAAGTGAGGTCAGACCCAGGCAGCCGGCTCCGTGGATCCTGCCCTTACCGTCTCCCCCTGACTGTTCCCTGCACCCTGGGCAGCCGCGGTGTCCCTCCCTGCCCTGCTCACAGCCCCTCAACGGCAGAGAGCTTTCCCTTCACTCAGCTCACGTGCTCACCTGTCACCCCGTGGAGAAGTGCCAGACCCGCAGCCTGAAGTCACCTTCTGCCATGCTTAGCAGCTTCAGGACCTTCCCAGCCAGCAGCTGCCTCATCACCTCCCTGCTACCCCCCCCGGAACATTCCCCCACGCGCTCAGGGCCCTTCTGTTCTGTGCACCCCATAACCGCGGCCGTGACGCCAGCCCAGCGCCACAGACAGAGGGAATGAGTGACGACGTGGACGGCCCTGTCACCTTGTTCCCCTCCCTCCTGCCCGACTCGCATCCTCACCACCTTGAACTGCTCCACGGCAGCGGCCACACCTGAGCAGGAAGGCCGGCCACATCCCCACGCAAGTGCCGGAGCCATCCTCAGAGCAGACGCATCAGCCGGTGACCCTAGCTGCCTTTAAAGTACTGGTGACTTCCCAGCAGCTCGAGGCCATCGGTGCTCCTGCGTCTCA